TTTCATCATGTTTCATCATCTTCCACATCTTCCATCATGTTTCAACCATCTTCTCCATTGAGTGCCATTTCAGCATACAGTGCATCTTCATCATTTCATCATTTTCAGCGATTTTGATCATTTTTCATCATGTTCACATTTACCGGTGTTGTCAACATTTTTCTGTTCTCGTTCTGACTACTTCTGCTTCTTACCATTGCCAGATCAAAAACATCGGAAGAAAACATGTGTAATCTTTGGCCAGATTTTACAACTGAATTGGGGGGCCTTCCCCCCAACCCAGCCCACCTGCCTGTTCCTCAAAAAAACATTTAAAAAACATGCGGGCAGCCATATCTCACCATGTTTCGTGAAATTGCATGATTTCTCACGGTATGTCATCACTTGTCAATATGTGCATCATTGTTCATACCCTTTGGCATTTGTGTTCACGTGGGTCACTTTGCTATAAACCGTTGCACATGTTTATCATGTTTCCATCACAACTCATCAAATTTCATCGTCTTCTCATATTTCATCATGTTGCATCATTTTTCAGAATATTCATCTCAGTTCTTGTTCATTGTAGTCCTTTTGCATCTAGTTTTCAGAACTGAGCAACAGTTTCTGACAGTTTTCATCAGTTTCATTGTGATTCATCTCTTTTCATGGACGTGCATCATTTTTCATAATCTGCATGGATGCATCAGTATTCAGCATTCTCCATCATTTTTCATCCGTTTTCATCCGTTTCTTAATCTTCCTCATGTTTTCATAGTTTGCATTGTTTTCATCAGTTTTCTTTATCCTCATCAGTTCTCATGATCTTTATCATTCCCGTCAATTTTCATCATTCTCCAAGACATTTCCTGGATTCCATCATTTGCTTAATCATTTCCATCATGTTCACTGAGTTCGGGCAATTTTCCATCATGTCCGTTGTGACATTTTCCTCATGTCTCACCATTTTCACAACTACACGGTGTTTCATCATTTTGTCATGTTTTTCATCATATTCATCATGTTTCACAATTTTTCCATCAGTTTGCGCCGCCATCCATCATTTTTCCGAAGTTTTATCAGCTTCATGGCTTTTCCATTTTTATCCTGCGTCTTCATGAGTTTTCATCATTTTGAATTTTGGTATGTTTCCATATTCTCCATGTTTTTGCATCAGTTGGCATCATTTCCACCCTAATTATTGTATAGTCCAAAGAACAGGAAGCGGAAAAAGATGCAAACAACGGAAAACAAACAGTACGGAAACCATTTGCAAGTTTTGCAATCGCACATGATCTTTCAAACCTACAAGATCATTTGTTCATTTTGTTGGGCAAAACAAAATCCAAATTAGGACATAGTAAGTGTAGTGCCTGTTCTGGTGGGTGCGCAGTGTGATGGCAGACTGCATGGCTCATGTCCCGAGAGAGAGAACATGGCCAGAAATGAGCTTCCCGTCTCGGGAACGAAGAATTCAACGGGTGTGGGGTTTCCCGTTTTCTTGCAAAACGTGACTAGTGTATCTTTCAAGGCTCAATCCATGTGTCCTCAGCACGGCGAGAACCCTTCCAGTAAGTCCCCCGAAGGGGAGCCCACCTTTCCTGGAAGTGCCTCCGGCAAAGCTAAAGAGACACTGAGAATGGAGTTAGGCGCAGTATTTTAAAGCGGACCCACAAATGGCAAGAGTCAGCTGACACATGTACATGTTGAGTGAGAACCGCTTCAGGACATGTCACCCCGGCCATTCCGCATGATGCGGATACCTGTGCGACACTTGTAAGGTGATGTTGTTGTTGTTGTTGTTGCTGCTGGCATACACGGATGTGTCAACCGTCTGGTGCTGAGGTGGACGCGGGAGATACCGGAAGGCCAACCTTCTACGCCCACATGGATGTGGCGGACCTCTCAGATGCTCTGCAATTCATGGAGAAGCATCTGCTTTATCCTTCTGCAGGAGCACCTGCTTCACGTCATATGTCCTCAGGTCATGAATCTGTACAATCTGCTGAAACCCTGCCAGATCTCAAGCCATACCAACATGTGCAGAGCTCAGCATCAATAAAAAGCTGCAAATCGATGGCACTTGTCTGTCTTCCCGAGAATCCTCGCAAATCCTCAGATTCCAAAGGCAAGACTTTGTTGACTTGCTCCACCAAATTGGGGAGAGCATGAACCTGCAGCCACTGATGATCAAGGACTTTCATGTGGCCCTGTACAACACCCCGTCTGGAAGAGAGATGTTGATCTTAGGTAGATCTCGATAGGCTGATCTAGATTGGCTTCATTGGTGACGTATTACTTGGCAGGACCTGGATGAGTGGGCCACGAGCCCAGAAGAACTTGTCTGGAATTGTTCAAGTTCACGGTATACACAGTGCAGGGCGTTGAGGCAGCTGCTGGCTTCCCCCGTGGGCTTCTTGAAGCGTTTTGAAGTCGAGGTGCCCTTAGAAGTTGTGCATCATTGGTTGAAGCGGTTTGTCTCAGTCCGCGTCTCAGCTTGGCAAGGGTGATGACAAGGATGCTTCTGCATCTATGTTTGTGAGGCCTTCGCGGACCTTTACAAAGAGCTGGGTCTATTCATTGACGCATGATGCAGAACTGCATCCTGCCGCGCTGCATGTGAGAAAGTTTGCTAGGCTTTTTCGCGCCAGTGCTGCTTCTTTGAGTTGTGCAGATACACGCCTTGCTTTCCTATGTGCCTGCAGTGCTCGAGATAGGTGATGACGATGTACGATACGCCATGTAGGTTCAGGTTTGCATGGGCGCCCATTTCTCAAAGAAATGGACTTCGAGGATGAGCTTGAGCTCTCCCCCAGGTTTGTAACATCGTTGCTTCGTGGTGGCACTGGAGTCGGAGTGCTGCAGCGAGCTCATGATGAGCTGACACGCCGCGCGCACAACGTCTGGTTGGAAACAGGTCGCAGCGATGACAAGGCAAACTGGGAAGACGCGGAACGTACCTTGGTGCGCTGGAGGAGACAACCCGATTCAGGAAGTGAAGAGGAGAACACAGGACTCGACGCCTTTGTGGGCTCGCCAAGTGCTGGAAGCTTTGTGGATTTTGCTGGTAGTCGCGACCAGCTCGCAGAATCCTGCATCACGCTGGAGGCAAATCTGCATGCAGCTAAAGCTGCACTTCAGCAAGAGAAGTGGGCTGTAAGGGCATTGCGCAAGGACCTTCAAGCAGAGCGTGCTAGAAGCAAGCGCTTCTCATTCAAGTTGATGGCGGCCGAGGCACAACTGTACAATGAGACCTCCGCCAAGCCCAGCAAAAAAGGTCACCCCAGGACCTTGAATACACGGAAGATCCCGGCTCTCACCGCCCTCAATGGATCAAAGAACGAGTGGCGAGAAGTGGAGCACTATCCATTGACGCCAAGAGCTCGAGTCCGCCGGCGCTTGTATTCCAGCCCTGCACATAGTTCCTGTAGCAGTGACTGCGAAGCGTGCGAGATCAGTTCCGCGGCAAGTGGTTGTCACACACCAACAGCATCATGGTGGTATGATGATGAAAACGACGATTCTGCAACAGATCCGGATCACTCTGATCTTTGTGACAGGGCGTGCATCAGTGAAGCTGAGTGCTCAGATTCATGGTGGTTCTCCGAAGACAGCACGCAACATCGCACGGCAAGCGAAGGCAGTGGCTTGGCTGCGGTTGGCAGCCTCTTCCAAATCACCTCAGATATCTTGATCCTGTTACCGGATCTTCCCGCAATTCTAATGTATACACCAGAAGCTGAAGCTCTGATAGTTCTTTTCTGTGTGGTGGCCTGTCCGAAGATGGGTGTCAAAAACCACCTCCGCCCTACCAGCCCAGCCACCCCACCCCCCCACCTGACAAGACCCCCAGAACACCCCACCATCCACCTCCCCAGAACTGCTGCCCCAATTGCCCTCCGACCCCGCCCCTTTAACCACGTCGCGTGTACTGCGGGCAGCATTTCAGCAGATCATAGTAGAATACTTTAGATAGAAGTAGAACGTTACAAGAGACACACGGGGGTTGTTCAAAAAACCCTTCCTCTTGGTTTCCACTTGGGCGTCTTCTTGTGAAGTAAATTCATAAGCATGCAGCTGTTTTTGATTCATGTTAAGCCATTGCAGCGACTGCAGTACGTGGAATGTGGCAGAAGGCCGAGTGGAAGGCTCATCTTGTCATAGTACTCAGTAAGATATCATGAGGCATCAAGCTGGCTGCTGGGACACTTCATCACAGATGTATACGAATGTCAAGGTGCCTTTTTCAAGCGGCCGTAAAATGCATGAGAGGCATATTGAGCTGGGCCCCGTTGTTCTGGGCCGGCGGTGCTGGTTACACCTTTCCAGATCTCCAAAGATGCAGGGGTGCGGGGGTGGTGAAGGAGGAGGGTGGGGAATGGTGAGGCTGGTTTTCAGCAGGGGGGGGGGGGTGATGCGTGGAGGTGGTGGTGTCTTGAACCTGATTGTTGGGGTGTGCACCACCTGCCCGTTCGTGGCAACCACTGCAAGATGTTGATCTCTCATTAGTGGTGCCCATGCAGGCCTGCCTGACGTGTTGGAAAGCTGTTGTGGTTTCTCATAGTGGCTGACTCACCAGTGCCTCTACTGAGGTAATTTCACATTGCCTGCTAACAGCTCATGCACTTCGGTGCCCTGTGATTTCGAGCAGGATGCAGACATGAAGGCCAACATTTTCGCAAACATGCTGCTGTACATCAAAAGACATCAGTGATTCCTGCGAGGCAGAACCTGTTCAGGTCAGCTTCTGGGATAGAGACAGCTTGTGGCTCGGAAGTACCTTGGATGCATTCCGCTGGCCGTTGTGTTGGGAGGCTGAAGCTCACTACCCTGCCAAGGCACATACAGTGCTATCGAAGATCTTCTGGGCCGTGGGCAAAAGAATTCGTAGGCATCCCAACGATCGGCTGAAACGGATGCCACACTTCAGTGCCATGACACAGAACGAGGCACAATAAGTCTGCCATGTGTAAGAACTTTGGGTGTCGAAATCTTGCGTTTTGCGACCCCATCCTCATAGGAGCAGCACAGATATTGTCCACTAGTGTTCTTGTTGGACCAGAACACTCACCGACATGGTGCCGTCCTGGCAGCCGTCTCACTTCAAAATGTTGCAGATATCCACCTTTGAAAGAGCTTCATGCTCAGTTTCGAGGCATGCAAAGCTGTGCCATCTGTAGCGAAGTTTTCTGAACAGTTGAGGCTGTTGCAAACCATGCTGCCGTGACATCAGATGTTGGACATCGTTGGACAATGACTCTTTAGTCTGGATATATGTATATACATGTCTACTGCAAGCATGGCCAGGAGCAGCATGATGGGATCAAAGTGTGGCAAGGCGGTGGAAAGCGCAGTAATGACTTATGCAGTGGCATTGCAGTGTGGCAGGAACAGTAATTGGCATGTGCAGTGGCAGTCATTTAGGGTTTGCTCTACCGATTTCGACATAATCGGAACTGACACCAAATTTGCGTGAGTCCGGTGCTGAAACTGAAAGCCAAGACGGTTGGCTATGGATTGCTTCATTTTCAAAACTATGAAGCATAGCCAGCTTCACCCATGCACTTTTCATACCGCCCTACAACGAAAGGAGTTTTTCAATAAACGTCGTTCGACGTCGTCTTCATAACCTTCAAATCCAACATCCCCACAGAACTCGTGAAGCATCCTTTGAAAGAAACTGAATGATTGTTTTTTCAAGGCGTCGAAAAACATTGTTTTACACTTGTTTTCTAACCTTGGAAAATTTTTGGGGGTCAAAGCGCGGCGCTGCTCTCTTGAAGGTCTTACTCTTTTGGGTTTTGGTTTCTCCACCTTCTATTGTGGTAGATGGTGGTACTGTAGGGTCTCTCCAACATGTTCCCTTCGTCGATGTTGTGCAAGTGGGGGGGCTGCGCTCCCCTCCAACCCTCCGGCTTTGTTGTTGAAACATATGCAATTCTTGGCCAAACAGTACTATGAACAATCCAGGCAGAACCTACTTGTTCTCATCATCATTCATTCTTTGCAATTATTGGTACGCTGATTTTTGTTAGTACTGCAATTGTTCTTGCTATGGCTGTTACTTTTGCCAGAAATCTTTTAATTGTGTGATGTTCTATTATCTGCATTTTGCTTTTGGTTACTACTAATGCTACCAAGCCGCTTGTATTACTGTTATCACAAAGACCATTGTTACTTGCTATTGTTCCTATTCTAAATAAAGTTGTTGTTATACATTTCTAATCCTGTGCTATTACTGTGGTTCCAAGCGCTGCTGCTACTCTTTTTACTGTCTTGATTAAGATTACTACTATCATTGTTTCTCAGGGTATCATTCGGTCTATGCTGATTATGCTGATTACCTTGGTGATGTCGGTAAGAATAGAACTACTGTCTCTTCAACTGTCACATTCGTAAAACAGTTGATGAAATTATCAGTATTCATAAAAGATCAACAGAGTTCTCGCACAACGCTTACTAACAAGAAACGATTCTCATTGTTCTTGCTGGCTTAAAGTTGCTGTTCCAGTTCTTACTGTATTATTTGTGTTATCAGTCGACCATTATTTTTACATGGGGCTTTCTGATTACTAGCGTGAATGCCATTATATTCGTTTGTTGCCTATCAATTATTACCACCACCACCACCACCACCACCACCACCACCACGACGACGACGACGACGACCATTACTACTATTACTACTATTATTACTAAACCTCAAACCCTACACCCCAAACCCTGAACCC